TTGTGCCGTTATATTAACCATAGTTAAAGTGGGACCAATTTTGTATTTTTCAGAGGGTAACTTAATCCCTAAGATTTCGTTTCATTGTGTTTGAAAAATATCAGGAATATTTGAAATATTGGATAATATTTTTATGCAACGATAACCAAAGTTGTTTACAGCTAACGAATTGTTTAATCAGCCTTGGGTGTTTTTCAGATACACTGCTGTTGTTTTCCAAAAAACATCGCTATTTGCGTCATACTTTAATAACTCGGTTTCCATATAGTTTGAATAACATTTGTTAAATAATGTATATTTTATTTATTTGAATGTTCTTTTAACATCTATTATCCAAATTTAGTAATTAAAAAAGGTTAAAAAAAAGAGAAATTTTAAATTAGATTTATTATAGAAAAAATGGGTCCTATATTTTATGAATCATCTGTATTCACTTTAAAACATTCATTTGACATATCTTTACTATTTGTTTGTATACCAACTTCCTACGCAGAATAAATTATTAGCTGGTGCAAACCTAAAATATATTTAAAGTAGAAACACGATTAATTTCTAGTTGGCTTAAGTAAATGATTTGTTCGAACTAATTGTATTTAGTTTTTTGAACTAGAATTATATTGAAACTCTATAATAAGCGTATTTAAATTTAGGCCAAATTTTCAATAATGTAGTCCTACTAGAAATTATTGTACCGTTATATTAACCAAAGTTTTATTTGGACCTACTTGGAATTTTTCAAAGGGTAATTTAATCACCATAGTTTAAGGGTTAAATAATATATTTAACTTTTTGCCTTATTGTGTTAGAAAAATATTAGGAATATTTGAAATATTGGACAATATTATTTGCAAAGATAACCAAAGTTGTTTACAGCTAACGAAATATTTAATCAGCCTTGGGTGTTTTTAGATAAACTGCTGTTGTTTTCCAAATAAAATTGCTGTTTGCGTCATACTTTAATAATCTAGTTCCTATATAGTTTGAATAACATTTGATAAATAATGAAGGTATATTTTATTATTTTGCATGTTTTTTTGCACATTTCGATTCATTTTGTTGAAATATATCAGGAATATTTGAAATATTGGACAATATTTTCATGCAACGATATCCAAAATTGTTTACTGCCAATGAAATGTTTTATCAGCCTGGTTTTTTAGATAAACTGCTGTAGTTTTCCAAATAAAATTGCCATTTGCGTCTCACTTTAATAACCTAGCTCCTATATAGTTTGAATAACATTTGATATATAATATATATTATATTTATTTGAATACTATTTTGACATTAATATCCGAATTAAGTAATTTTAGATGTTGAAAAAAAAGGCAATCTAAAAATTTAATTACCTTGAAGGTAATTTAATTACCTTAATATTTAAGTTCAATAATATATTTAACATTTCGATTCATTGTATTCGAAAAATATCAGGAATATTTGAAATATTGGACAATATTTATATGCAACGATAACCAAAGTTGTTTACAGCTAACGAAATGTTTAATCAGCCTTGCGTGTTTTTAGATTAACTGCTGTTGTTTTCCAAATAAAATTGCTGTTTGCGTCATACTCTAATAATCTAGTTCCTATATAGTTTGAATAACATTTGATATATAATATATATTATATTTATTTGAATACTATTTTGACATAATATCCGAATTAAGTAATTTTAGATGTTGAAAAAAAAGGCAATCTAAAAATTAGAATTAACATAGATAAAAATAGTGTTCTTTATTTAATGAATCATCTGTATTCACCATAAAACAATAATATGATATGATTTATCTTTACTATTTATGTTTATACCACCCTCCTATGCAAAATAACTTAATAGCTGGTGCAAATCTAAAATATATTTAATGTAGGGACACTTTTAATTTCTAGTTGGCATAACTAAATGGTTTGTAAGAACCACATGTACTTAACTTTTTAACTAGAAATATATTGAGCCCCTATAATAAGCGTATTTTAATTTAGACCAAACTTTTAATAAATCAGTCCAACTAAAATGTATTGTGCCGTTATATTAACCATAGATAGAGTGGGGCCAATTTTGTATTTTTTAGAGGGTAACTTAATCCCTAACATTTCGATTCATTGTGTCCGAAATAATTCAGGAATATTTGAAATAATGGATAATATTTTCATGCTACGATAACCAAAATTGTTTACTGCTAACGAAATGTTTTAAAAGCCTTAGGTGTTTTTTAGATAAACTGCTGTTTTTTTCCAAATAACATTGCCATTGTCGTCATACTGAAATAACGTAGTTCCTATATAGTTTGAATATAATTGGAATAACATTTGATAAATAATATATATTATATTTATTTAAATATTTTTTTGACATAAATATCCGAATTAAGTAATTATAAATGTTGAAAAAAATTTAAAAATTATAGTTAATATCGAAAAAAAAGTGTTCTATATTTAATGAATCATCTGTATTCACCATAAAACAATAATATGATATATCTTTACTATTTATTTGTATACCACCCTCCTGCGCAGAATAAATTATTAGCTGGTGCAAATATAAAGTATAATTTATGTAGAAACACGATTAATTTCTAGTTAGCTTAACTAAATGATTTTTAGAATCGATTGTATTTAGTTTTTTGAACTAGAAATATATTGTGCCCTTTTAGTCACCATAGTTGTAGTTTGACCAACTTTTTTCAGAGGGTATTTTAATTATCTTAGTTTATAGGTTAAATAATATATAATATATTAAGCGTATTTTAATTTAGACCAAATTTTTAAACACTCAGTCCAACTAAAATGTATTGTACCGTTATATTAACCATAGTTAGAGTGGGACAAATTTTGTATTTTTCAGAGGGTAACTTAATCCCTAACATTTCGTTTCATTGTGTTTGAAAAATATCAGGAATATTTGAAATATTGGATAATATTTTTATGCAACGATAACCAAAGTTGTTTACAGCTAACGAATTGTTTAATCAGCCTTGGGTGTTTTTAGATAAACTGTGGTTTTTTTCCAAATAACATTGCCATTTGCGTCATACGTTAATAGCTCAGTTTCCATATAGTTTGAATAATATTTGTTAAATAATGTATATTATATTTATTTGAATATTTTTTTGACATAAATATCCAAATTTAATTGCAAATGTTTAAAAAAAACTAACAATTAGAATTCTTTTAGTAAAAAAAAATGGACCCTAAATTTAATGAATCATATGTATTCACCATAAAACATATATTTGACATATCTTTACTATTTGTTTGTTTACCACCCTCCTATGCAAAATAATTTAAAAGCTAATGCAAATCTAAAATATATTTATTGTAGAGACACTATTAATTTCTAGTTGGCTTAACTAAATGATTTGTTAGAACCACTTTTATTTAACTTTTTAACTAGAAATATATTGAACCCCTACCATAAGCGTATTTAAATTTAGACCAAATTTTTAAACACTCAGTCCAACTAAAATGTATTGTGCCGTTATATTAACCATAGTTAGTAGTCAAAAATGTTAAAGCTTTCAGTCATGATCATAAAACAAAATATATTAAATTAAAAAAATAAAAATAAGTGGAAATCTACAAACTTTTTTTTTTAGATATAGCTTAGGGGGATCTCGAACAATTTTACTCTCTCACATATTATAATAACCTAGAAATTAACTACAGCTTTCGAAATGCAATTTCTCCTTTTTTTTTGGGAGGAGGGAATTTTCTTTAACAATAAAAAAATAAATCATAAAAATCCAAAACCTAATCAGCTCTGCGCCTTCTACTGCAATCGTATCTACCGCTATACTTATGAAAACTTATACGGCGGGGTCGGAGCATAGCGGGGTCAAGGTATAGTGGGGATGAGGATGTCAAAGGTTTACATGAATTTTTAAATCTGAAAGTGATATAATCAATTTCGAATAAACGCTTCTATGCAAATCAGTAGTTAGTATTTTCAAGCCAGTACAGTCCAAATAAAGAACAGTGTAAACCTGCAAAGTAAGAAAGTTTTATATTGAGGTGCTCTAATTACAAATAAGCATCAAAGCGTTAATTTGAAAGTGATTTTATCTGAGAGGACAAGGACAGTAACGTATAAGCATAATGGAATCAAAACATAGAGGGAGAGGACAGGAGGTCAGAGGTCTGCAGGAATTGTTATAAATAAAAGTGAATAAAATGTGGAGTGTAGTATTTTTTTTATCTGCGCGCATTTCCCGACAACACATTCCCTCCAATCTTTAGTTTAAAACTCTTATAACTTTATAATTAGTTATCCGAAGCTCTATGAAATATTGAGTAGTTCTTGATAAACAAAACAACCTGTAAATGTCATTAAAAAAATTATTATTTTGTAGTTTGCCTTGAGTCTAAAACGCAAATAATTTCATCCCTTGCGGCGGGGAGGGGGTCGGGTTGCAGGACTATCGAAATTTGATTTGAGGCTATTTATGAATAGAGGCATGCCTAATAAATGTTCTATAAAAATTGCGCTTCGATAAGACCGTTTTTCGCTATGTTCAAGTGAGTTAAAGTCGAAAAACCGTCAAAGTACCAATCGCAAACTATTTCGGATGTATAGAGATGATACTCGAGTAAACCGTTCCAAAGGAAAAAATATGTGACTGCTTTTTTAAGGTATTAGGTTTATTTTTCAAAGTTTTTCTCAAATAAAAGGTTACCGTCAAATGAGCCAACTTGGGGCATTATGGGTAATTTGGGGCATGTGTGTAAAAAAATATACATTAAAATATAATATATTTGACCCATGCCCCAAATTACCCATTATGCCCTATGTTGGCCCGTTTGACGGTAACAAAAGATTTTTAAGATTATTGTTTGTTTCTGTTAATGTTCCATTCTAGATATATTCTTTAGATGGGGCACTATCGATAAACGTTGACAATATATGCATTTATTTTGCACATGAGTAAACAGTTTTAAACTGTAATAAGCACGTAAAATAATAACAGTAAGGGGGTACGTGTACTAAGTATGCCATACAACGCAAATAAAAATATTCAAAAGTATCTGTTGCTTAAAACAAATTGCACGGATCAACACCTACAGACATGGTACTGTTTGCATTCTTCAAGTAAATATTCTTATATTAAGTACTGTGGTTGTTCGGAAAACCACTATTTGAATCACAGTCATCAAGCAAGAATACAATATTCCCATAACATTATAAAATCGTCATATTCCGTATCCAAGTTTATCGTTTGAACACTTAAAATGTATTCGAAAATCATGATGCTGTTTATTTGCATTGCATGGTACGTCTTGCAATGTCAATGTGCTGATGAAGGCCCTAGTGAAAGTCAACTTGTAAGAATAATGAGTACTTATTATTTATTTTTATTACAAAATGCTGAGATAGTTGCTTATAAATGTATAAAATGTAATGTATTAATTAGAAAAGTCACTTAATGTTTTAACCACCTACATTGCTGCACCGAAGAGTTTTTTAAGTAATATTTTCTCTTATAACCAATTATTGATAACAATAACAAAAAAATATACTTTAACTACTATACAATTTATGTTATAATGCTAAACAAATTCGCAAGTCATATAATATTACTGATAGTTAGGCATTTTTATTTAATTAAAGAAGGATTAGTTTAATTTGCAAATTGTTATGTACAATTAAATGACTAATTCTTATTCTTATAACAATAGGCTGTGATAGTAAAAAAAGTCGATGAAATTTATCACGAACCGAATGGCATCAGCTATGATGACTTTTTTAAAGCTTTGCTTTCTATACAAACGGATACGAAGGCAACAGGAAATATCCTCAGCCGTGATCAATTTGAAAAGACATTGGGAGGTAATAAATAATAGGACAATATTCAACAATTGTGTTAGCTAGAAACTATTAAATTGAGGTGCATTATTTACAAACAAGCATCAAAGCGTTAATTTGAAAGTGATTTTATGACTTTAATTAATAACAGTTCCTGTAAACTCGTGACCTCTCCGTCCTCTCTATGCTTTGATTCCATTATAACTCGACCCACTGTACTAGTCCTTTTAGATTAAATCGATTTCAAATCAACGCTTTGATGCTAATTTGTAAACACTGCACCTCAATTTAATTCGTTTTTACTTTGCTCAGTTTGGACTTAACTGGTTTGAAAATACTGATCACTGATTTGCATCAAAGCGTTTATTCGAAAGTGATGTTATTACATATTCAGCTGTAATAATTCCTGTAAACTTGTTTCCTCCCCGTCCCCATTAAGCCCCAACCCCACTGTATTATTGTTAAATTTAGTTGGAATGGTCGGTGTTTATGTTTCACCCGTTTGTACTCCATAATTTAAATTATAATCGCTTATACTCAATAAAAATAATATTTATGTATTATATACTTCTTCCATTAGAACAATCTCACACTAACTTTTTATACTTTATAAATTATATTTTTCATAGCTATATTATTCTTCTATTTTACTAGATTGACAATAAACATAACAAAACGCATCTAAAAAACCTTTACATAGATCTTTAATTTGTATACTTATTTCTTGTAATTTTCTAAAGAATAATTGAGTCTCCAGCATTGAAATTAAAAGTAAATCTTATACTATATTGGAGAAAAAAATAAAATATTATACTTACATATATTACTTATTAGTAAAAAAGAATTAAAGCCAGATGCAGTTTTTATAACTTAGCATCAAAGCGTTTATTTAAAAGTTTATTTATCGTAGAGGAGTAGTACAATCTATAAAACTCATATGGTAACAACTAGTAATCCCAGTACCAACTAGATAAAATTTGTGATTTATAGAGTTGCTATAATGATTAAAAATAAAAATATTGTAACACAATATTACAATTAATCTGGTTTTTTATGAAATATTTAAAATTTTGTTCTTTCAGGTCGTTACTATACATTAACAGATTGTTTAAATCTAACGAGATTTATTGTAGGTGACAATACTCAGCAGGTAAATAAAAAACTAAAATTAATATATTACAGTTTAAGGTTTTTGAAGTGCAAAATGTGAATTATTGTTTTAGAAAATGAATCTTATATTTATAATGTGTACATTAAAATGTTTTAGTTGTAAATTTTAATATACATTTTAATGCCTATTTTTGTTCTGATAAAAAATAGGAATATGCAGTAAAGTTATTTGAAAGAAATGCATATCGGGAAGAGATAACCTTTTTTCAATTAAGTTTTGTCATATATGGTATAAGAGTTCAACTCAAAAAGGATGTATCCATTGATAAAGAAGACCAATTGAAAGCGGATCTTTTAAGTAATATACAATAAAATTTTTTTAATAAATATGTTGAGAAAAATGTTCAAAAACTATTGAAAAGGCATTTTAATAATAAAGTCTATCATTAATTGCACAACTATAAATTATATAATTTTTTATAAAAATTAAATGTATTATGTAACTTTACATTATTATTCTTCAATTACAAAAATATCAGATAATAATCTTTTGCAAGTGGAAAACATATTTTTTCTTTAATATATTTGCTGTTGAATTGGTCTGCTTCGTTTGATTAAAAAATGTATAATATTTTGTGCTTTTAGAATACACTTTTCCTATTAAGACAAAAGAAGATGCCATTAGAACGATTATACAAAATTTAAATTTTGCAGTTTTAGAATAATACATGTATGTACTATGTCACATACAAAATTGTATTCTTGATTGGAAAATAAACCATTTTGCTCTTATATTTCGTCAGTATTTATTTTATTGCTTCATATAAAAAAAGTTTTTTTTAAACAAAAAAATCTCTAAACAAAATTCTAAGAGTTTTTTAAAAGGTAAGTTTTAATATAATAATTAGTATTGAGATAACTAGAAAAATATAATTAAACTTACTTTGGAATAGTTGAAAACTCATTTTTATACAACTCAAAAAAATATAATTCTATTTCTAAGCTCGATAATGATAAATAACCTATATAAAAAAAACACATAATCATTCATTGTTCAATATTACCATTAGCATTTTTCTAGGCTACAATACATTGTATTGATGTGTATTAATTATAAACCAATACATACAAGATATCTCATATGAATTTTACATTATTCGCGACATATATTTTATCCGGCGGTGGCCAGTTTACTCGGCCCATTCTAGATGTGAAAGTGATTTTATCCGAGAGGACTAGTACTGTAGAGTATAGACATAATGGAATCAAATCATAGAGGGGACGGAGAGGTCACCGGTCTTCAAGAATTATTATAAATAAAATCAATAAAATCACTTTAAAATAAATGCTTTGATGCTTATTTGTAAATACAGCACCTCAACTTAATACTTTCTCACTTTGCTGGTTTACACTGTGCTTGGTTTGGGCTGTATTGGCTTGAAAAGCATCTTATTCGCATCGAAGCGTTTATTCGAAAGTGGTTTTATCATCTTCAGATTAAAAATGTCCGGTAAACCTGTGACCTCACCGTCCTCATTATGTCCAGACCCCACCATGCTCTGATTCTACTGTACTGGCTTTTAAGTTTTTCTATTTAAAACCATTTACAAATAATTACTTTGGAAAAAAATGTGTCAAAAAAACATTCAAATGAATATCATATACATTATTTAACAAATGTTATTCAAACTATTTGGAAACCGAGTTATCAAAGTAAAACGCCAATGGCAATGTTATTTGGAAAACAACAGTAGTGTATCAAAAAAACACCTAAGGCTAACAAAACAATTCGTTAGCAAAAACAAGTTTGGTTAGCGTTGCATGAAATTGTCGTTCAAATATTCCTATGATGTTTTAATCGCCGGAAAACTGTGTTTTTTTACAATTTTAGGATCTGAAAGTTATAAATTTGTCAGCATTTAGAATTCATATGTATCCATAGCATATTAAACGAAGTAAAAATCCGGCACTTCAGTATTGCTATAATTGCCAGAAAACTGTATAAGATATTGTATATTTTAACATATACACTTTAAATCATAAAAGAACTTCATTAAATCATCACAACATTTTATGGACGTCTATTCAGAATGATACTAATTAGTTTTGATACTTGAGTACCATTTTTAGGTTTTTATTTAATTAAATTTAATTCTTTATTTAAGTATTTTTTGGCTGAGTAAAATTGAAAACTGATATTAAATTCGCAATCACCGACCCCCACAACATATAATTTGACCACTTTGAAGTCTTTTACACAAAAATCCAGAAAAATGTTTTAGCTTTGATGTGGAGCAGTGATGCTATATGTTTTACAATGAAGTGGCCTTTTTTATTTTTTGTTTGTATACACATTTACAATTTTTTTATTACTGGACCAATACCTTCGAACAGCAACTCTATAAATCACATACTTGATCAACTTAAATTATAGTTTAAATAGTTTATTTAACGTATTGACCTATTGTGTTCGAAAAATATCAGGAATATTTAAAACATTGGACAATAAATTCATGCTACGATAACCAAAATTGTTTACTGCTAGAGTAAATATGGAAAACAATTGTGTTCTATATTTAATAAATCATCGGTGTTCACCATACAACATATATTTGATAAATCTTTATTATTTATTTGTGTACCACCCTCCTACGCAAAATAAATTAATAGCTGGTGCAAATCTAAAATATATTTAATGTAGAAACACGATTAAATTCTAGTTGGCTTGACTAAATTATTTGTTAAAACCACTTTTACTTAGTTTTTTGAACCAGAAATATATTGAACCGCTATAATAAGCGTATTTAAATTTAGTTAAAATTTTTAATAACTCAGTCTAACTAGAAATGTATTGTGCCGTTATATTAACCATAATTTAAAGTTGACCAACTTTATATTTTTCAGAGGGTAACTTAATCCCCTAATTTTTAAATTGAATAATATATTTAACATTTCGATTCATTGTGTTAGAAAAATATTTAAAATATTTGAAATATTGGATAATATTTTCATGCAACGAGAACTAAATTAGTTTACGGCTAACGAAAAGTTTTATCAGGCTTAGGTGTTTTTTAGATAAACTGCTGTTGTTTTTCAAATAACATTGCTATTGCCTTCTTACTTTTATGACCTAGTTTCTATATAGTTTAAATAACATTTGTTAAATAATGTATAATATATTATTTTGAATATTTTTTTGACAATTAAATATTCAAATTTAGTAATTGTAAATGTTTCAAAAATAAAAAACTAAAAATTACAATTATTTTTATGTCCTATATTTAATAAGTCATCCATTTTCACTATAAAACTAATATTTGAAAGACTTTTACTGTTTATTTGTGTACTACCGTCTACCCTCCTACGCAGAAAAATAAAATAGCTGGTGCAACCTAAAATATATATAATG